TAAAAAAAAAAAAAAAAAAGAAAGATTTTTGTTATAGAGCACATGTGTTTGCTAGAGAGACAGTGAGAGACAGAAAGACAGAAAGTGAGAAATCACCTCCCCCGGAGGGGGTGGCCACCTGCAATCCCTTTTCCTCCAATCTCCTCTCGGGATTTTGGGCACACATGCATACACAACCAGCATGAGTTTCAAGGCCACTGGGTCCGGGACTCAAACTGTGGTCAAAGACGTAGGAGTCCAGGCCTCAGCCACTACGCCACCTGCTTCCCCCACCCTTGCCAGCAAACATTTTAATGAGCCAAAGAATGATATGAGTATTAGAGTGATAGTTCAAATTCGAATTTACCATAATTTTCAGCTCACCCAAAAACTTAGAAATTATATTGAATTGGGGGGGGGGAGGGGGCTTCAAAAAGTTCACGGAAAAATGCACATCATGAAAAAACTAACAGATGTCAAAAATATTGGGACCAGCAGTTAGCGTAATGGCTGTAACGCTGTACTCCCATGTAGTTGACCAGGGTTTGAGTCTAGGACCTGATGGCTTAAACTCACATTGGGCGCATGTGCATGCGTGTGTGCCCAAGATCCCAAGAGGAAAATGGAGAAGGGATTGTGGCGTGGCCATCCCCCTGGGGGTGATTTCTTGCTTTCTGTCTCTCTGTCTGTCTCTGTCTCTCTGGCAATTACATGCACCCTGTAGCAAAAACCTTTCCAAAAAAATTTTTTTCTTGTACCAGTCCTCTGGTCTAGTAGTTATGGGAACCAGAACCCACACGGTTGACCATGGTTTGAATCTTGGCCCTAGTGGCTTCAAAACCATGTCAGGTATGAGTGTGAGCAGATCTAAAATCTCAGAAGAGTGGAGAAATGAAGAAGCTGTTGTGACATGACCATACTACATTGGGGAGTATTTTTTCGTTCTACCTCTCTGTCTTGCAGCATGTGTACCCTCTGGCAATTAAAATACATAAACAAACTTATATTTCAATTCCATTGTTTATGAACTTTTTGAAGTTCCCACATATATATTTTATATAGAAACTAAAACACAATTTGAAAATAAAAGTGATAATAAAACTGTCCACTCTTTTTCAACAAAAGTTATTCTATCTTTCACCCTAAATAAATCACTCTCTGGGCCAGGCAGTAAGTAGTACAGCAGTAGTGCAACCGGATCCACTTGAGAAAGTCCTAGGTTCATGTCCTAGGACCTCCCTCAACACAATGGTCAGGCACAGTGCCTATGACTGGGCTGGCTGAGACTGGAGTGAATCATGGCATGAGGACCCTGTTGGGGGTCCTCGTCTCTTTCTCTGTCTCTTTTGTGATAGAAATAAAGAGTTTTTTTAAAAAATCACTTTCCAAGAGATTCTCATTTTATTAATTTTTTTTTTTGAGAGTTTTTTTTTTTGTGCTACAGGGTACATGTGCTCACCAAAGAGACAGAGAAAGTGAGGTAGAAAGTGAGAAATCACCCCCTGGGGGAATGGCCACGCTGCAATCACTTTTCCTCCATTCTCCTCTTGGGATTTTGGGCATGTATGCACATGAACCCAGCATGAGTTTTAAGCCTTCGAGCCCAGGACTCGAACTGTGGTCAACTACTTGGGAGTCCAGTGACATAACCAGTACACCATCTGCTGTCCCCACATTTTAAATAATGTTCTAATATATACATCAATAGATTTTAGGAGTAGAATTCTTTTTTTTCTTTTCTTTTTTTGGAGAGGTTTTTGCTATAGGGCATGTGTGCTCGCCAGACAGACAGAGAGAGACAGAGAGACAGAAAGCGAGAAATTACCCCCCGGGGGGGATGGCCACACCACAATCCCTTCTCCTCCATTCTCCTCTCGGGATCTTGGGCACACATGCACATGCGCCCAGCGTGAGTTTAAGCCACCGGGTCTGGGACTCGAACCACAGTTGACTACATGGGAGTCCAGCAACATAGCCATTATGCTAACTGCTGGTCACAGGAGTAGAATTCTTTTCAAAGAAGCAACAAGAGAATGTAACTCTTGGGGCTTTCAGGTGGCATGGTTATTAAGGTACTGGACTCCCACATGGCCAACTGTAGTTTGAGTTCGAGACCTGTTGGCTTGCTTTGCCTTCTCACTGTCTCTCTCTCTTTCTCTGGTTCAAACTGAAAACAATAATAAATACAATTAAATAAATAATTTTTAAAAAAATAGACTGTAGCTCTTACATATCTGGATGGCTCTTCCAGGTTCTGGTCATTCATGTTGGTAGGAATGATCCGGGTGGCCAGTGGTCCCTCTGCAAAAGGTTTTGGTAACTGGCCTCTGAACTCTGATGGAATGAACTGAAGCTGCCAACTGTCAGAAACACAAATAAGGAGGATAAGAAAACCACAGGGGGATCATATTGCTAAATGCACTTGAAACAACAAATCAAAAAAAAAATTTGTTGAGAACATTTCACCCAGAGAAAAATTATCTCTTCTAAAACCTCTACCAGGGAGCACAGAGGCACAGGTCACGATATAATCCAAAATCATTTAGAGGTCTCTCCACACGTTTCACCAACTCTCAGCAGTGAAATTTGCAATCAAATGTTAATACCATTCAATAACCTGAGAAGTGTCAAAGTTTATTGTCTATGATGACGTGATCATAGGGACTTGACAAAATTAAATCTAATTTTCAGGTACATAGAAAAAGAGTGAAATGTAATACACGGCACTAGGATCATATGATGGGAGAAGTCCTTTTTTTCTTAGTGATCATCAAACCTTCTGCTATGAACTATCTCAAATATAAAAGGCAAAGGATGAGTCAACACTTTAAAAACAGATTGATAAAAAGTCTTTAGTAAAGACGAGACACTACAGGTGTAGTCACGAGCAGGTATAGCTAAACTGCTGTATCCAGTCTTTAAATGGAGCAATATGACACCTCTTGACCAGACTTCCCTTTTCCCTAAATAGGACTCTTCTCTGACCAAATGAAGCAAAATATGAGGAACTCTAGAGTCTACGCTGTCAAGTCAAACACCAGACAGCATCAAGGAAAGGAGTACAGATGACTTAACTGGACGTTTTCCCCAGTGTCCACACACTGGAGAACTTTCACGGATGCTGGATGATTTCTTCTCTAAAAATCTTTTTCTAGCTACAGTTTCTAGGCCACTTTTAGTGGTCAGTATCGGGACCAGCAGTAATGGCTATGTCACTGGACTCCCATGTAGTTGATCATGGTTCGAGTCCCAGACCCGGTGGCTTAAACTCACACCAGGCGCGTGTGCGTGCATCCCCAGGATCCCGAGAGGAGAATGGAGGAGAAGAGACTGCGGCGTGGCCGTCCTCTCAGGGGGTGATTTCTCACTTTCTGTCTCTCTGTCTCTCTGTCTTTTTGGCGAGCGCACGTACCCTATAGGGCCCTACCACCCCTAAAAAAAAAAAAAAAAAAAAAAAAAGCCTCTCCAAAAAAAAATTGGCTCAGTATCAGATAATTACAGAAATACATATATAAATCTTGAACAGGTATCACTAGCAAAACCCGGGTCCAGAGGGTTTAAAGACGTCTATCCTCAGACATCTGTGGCTGGGGTGGTGCGTGCAACTAGTCTCATGAACACAGGAGATGGGGGACACAGTGCAATTTCCACAGCTCTTTGAGCTGGTAAATGATTCTGTGAAAACTCCAAAACCAGAAAAACTTAAGAAGATACTACCATAGACTTGCTACTTTTAACTCTGGGAATTAAAGGACAACTTACTTATCAGGCAGAAGGAAGCTGCTGGGAAATCGATACCACTCTTTTCCCACACAGACATTCACAGGTCTGCCTTCTGGGACAGTGTGGATGGTTGGGTCTGTAGCAATTCTGTAAAATTCTGGATACAAATCAAGAGGTCCATGATATCCTGAAAGAGAGATCAGTTAGTGCAAGCCAAAGACAAGTAACTTGAGATTCTGACATTTAATTATAATGCATGTTAATGCCCCACCCTAATCCATAAGAAATTTAAACAGTGTGAAGGCCCACAGCAACTCCAGTAGCCAACTCAACAGGTATTAAATGTCTCTCTCTCTCTCTCTCTCTCTCTTTCTCTCCCTAGAAAATGACAACAGCAGAGGTCCTATTTTGCCAAGAATAATTGGCTCTCTTGCCCTTGTCTACGTCCTTTCACCTTTTTAATTTCATTTTCTTGGAATACATTTTAGAACCAAATGATTATGAGTAAAAACACCATCACGAGACTTTAGCCACAAATTTGTATCTTCGGTTTAAGGCTTTCATAACTCATCACCAACCACTAATTTTTTTCCTAAGAATTATTTTATTTAACTGTATTTATTTATTCATTTGTTTATTTTATTTTGACCAGAGAGGGACAGAGTGGGGGCAGGGGGTAAGTGAGAAAGCAAGCTGTCAGGTCCAGGACTCAAACCACAGTTGGCCATGTGGGAGCCCAGCGCCTTTAACCACCACGACACCTGCAGACCCCATTAATTTTTTTTTTAAGTCAACAAGAATAGTGAAAAAAATTACAGTTAATCACACTAAAAGGAATTCAGAATATTCTTTTCAATCCTAAGGTAGAGAACACACGCCCACTCATTAATACATTGAGTCTACGACCACTCCCTACAGAAGAGACCCCTTCCCAGCATAAGCCAAATACGTAGTTAACAATCATGCATCAAGTAGAACATAAAGTAAAATGCCTTGTGAGTGTGGGTTAAGATGCTGTCAGCACATCTACCTCTGAACAGTGCCACAGAGCGAGAAAATGATAAGAGCCCAAACAGGAAGACTGTTCCTAATGCCAGCCAATTCGACGTCACAGTATAGTGCTCCAGGCGGTATCGTTGAAACACAAAGTGGTAACATTTCTAAAGGGAAAGAAAACTGTATTGACAAAAGAAAATGCATCTTGTGGAATACATACATAATTCCAAGACATTACTGCAACACAAAGAGTGAGAAAACAGAGAGTTTCTATTAAGGGTCTGAGCATTTAAAAATTACTTGGTAATGTACCTGCGTCAAAATCTCAAATAAAAGTCGACTTATCCAGGCCAGTAGGTGACATGGAGGTTAAGGTGGCTGGATCCCATATGGCCAACTGTGCAGTTCTAGTCCTGGACTGGACCACTTGAAAAACACACTGGATGCGTGTATGCATGTGTCCAAAGTCCCAAGAGAAGGAAGGAGAAGGGACTGTGGTGTGGCCATCCCCCTGGGGGGTGATTTCTCACTTTCCCTCTCATTTTCACTCTCTGGCAAGCACATGCACCTGATAACAAACTGAGGAGAGAAAAAAAGAGTCCCGAGGCTATGAATGCCATAAACATAGAGATACTCAGACAAAGGTAAGATGAGCCCTGCTAGGGATCTGATCCTGACAGGTTTAAAGCAGAATCTCACAATGTCCCACATTACTAACTTCCTGATGTAATCTCAAACTCAAAATAAAAGTTTATTCTGATCTGGGGATGAAAGCAGACATTCCATTAGCTCTGCCAAGGAGCCACTGTTCTATGATGGGCCTGTAAGATGACTTAAAAATGCATCTTTACTAATAATTGGGTCCTCTCAGTGACAGAAGCAGATTGACATACAAATTAACACTGTAAACATGGAATCTGCAAAAGAGAGTTAAGCAATCAATACCTATAGCTTTAATAATATGATCTATATTCGATTTAACATTATGGATAATATATCTTAAGTGAAGCACTATGTAACCTCCCCCTAAGTTTTGTGACTGATTATTTAATTAGTGAAACAGAATGAGGCAGATATGCTTTTCTCCAAAACTCACCTGAAGTGCAGAAAGAGCCACAGCGCCACAGAGACATATGAGAGGATATACAGGAAAAAGAAATCGCTCCTCTTTGTGAGGCTGGATGAAGAAAATTACAAACCAAATATACATCGGAGCCAAGGTAAGCCAATACGGGTGGCCTAAATTCTGAACTGCAAGACAAAGAAAAATATCCACCTTTCACTATATTAGAACAAAACAACATATTTAGTTTCAATGTTCTCTTGATCTCAAATTTAGGAGTACACCTAGCACACTTCATGAAATATTTCAGCTCTTGTATTCACACTTTCTTCAGTGGGAGAAAGCTATCAAGTGGAAAGACGAATATATGCCTCAGCTCTTACAAGGATCTGAACTCTAAAGGCAGGCAGAATACTGAATCTGGCCAGAACGTAATAGAAAGGCAGCTTAGTAAGTAATAGAGCTTAATATGTCCTATGTTGGAAAAAGGGACAAAAAAAAAAAAAAACCCTCTTCCCTATAATGACCTGAGACTAAGTTCCCGAGATTAAAGGAACGACGTAAACTTATTTCTTGGGTTTTGTTTTTTATTTACTTGCTGGAAGGCATGTTTGTTCTCCAGACTGGGTGTGGAAGAAAGAGGGAGAAAGCATCCTCAGTGGGCATGGTCATGCTGAAATCCTTTCTCCTCCATTTCTCTATCCTGTCAGGATTTTGGGTACACATGTACCCAGCATGTTTTTGAAGCCATTAAGGCCAGAATTTAAACCATGGTTGGCCATGTGGTATCCAGCTATCTTTTTTTCTTTTAAAGAATTATGTATTTCATTTATTTATTTATTATTTTTAATTTGACCAGAGAGAGAAAGGGAAAGTGAGGAAGCAAGCCACCAGGCCTAGAACTTGAACCGTGGTTGGCCATGTGGGAGTCCAGTGCCCTAACCACCATGCCACCTGCTAGCCTGGTATCCAGCTTTTTTTTTTTTTTTAAATAAAGATTTTTGCTATTAAATGCATGTGCTCATGAGAGAGAAAGAAAGTGAGAAATCATCCCCCAGGGGTATGGCCATGTCTCAATCCCGTCTCCATTCCCCTCTCAGGATTTTGGGCATGCACACATGTGCCCTGCATGAGTTTCAAGCCACTGGTCCAGGACTCAAACCACAGTCGACTATGTGGGAA